CGCACCGCACCGCACCTCGCACCCGCGCCCGCCGTCCTGCCTTTATCTTTTCCGGTACGGCTCCGGCCGTGATGGGGGCGGGGAGGGGGCGGGGGCGACGGCCGCACGGAACCGCCGCCGGCGGGGGGCGAGGGCGCGGGCGAAGGAGGAGGAGCCAGAGCCCGGGGAGGATTGGGAGGGGGAGGAGCGGCCGGAGGAGTACGCCGGCCTCTTTGACGACCCGTAAGGGGCCGTCGCCTGCTGTGCCATTTGTAGTGCCAGTCCGAGCCAGTCTGCTGTGAGAGGGGCTTGTATGGTAAAATTCTTTTCCGTTTTTTCGCGGTACACTTACACAACCATCATGTGTTTGCTGTTCGGCCCCCTCGTGGCGCCTGATTTGCGCGTCTCTCCTATCCCGTGCCCATCGCTTCGGCTCGGCGCACCCGCGCTGGCGGCGCACGGCTCGGCCGACGACCTCTTCAGCCGGTACGCCGCCGCGGCGCCGCCGGTGCAGGCGGGGCTGTACGCTCGCTGCTGGAGCATTGTGGACGAGGCGGTGCAGGCGACCGTCCCCGGTGCGAGCGTGGACGCGAGCGCCTACGGCGGTGAGCTGGCGGCCTTCGTCGCAGCCGGCCCCGACGACCCGGAGGCGGTCCCTGAGGAGCAGCGCGAGATGCTCGGCAAGTTGGCCGACACGGCTGCCTCGTACGTGCGGCTGGTGGATCCGGGCCGCCTGTCGTACGGCACCCGCTACCGCACGCTCAACGCACCGCTCGGCGCCTACTTTTGCGGCATCTCGCTCTGGCCGCGCGAGAGCGTCGACGTGCCCAACTTCACGCTCTACTTTGGGTCCGGCTCGGCCGTCAACCCGGACCGCGTCTTCCTGCGGCTCGAGCTCGTGCCGCGCGTGGACACAGACACGGACGCGGCGTACGCGGAGAGGTACTACGCCCCCTTCAACGACCGCTTCTTCGCCATGGCCGCCGACCCAGCCTTTGAAGCATACGTCTCCGACTCGGCGTACGCGCGCGGC